AGCCCAGTTCGCCAAGGCCGCAGCCTACCTCCCCAACCTCGCCGTCTCCATTGCCACCATCACGCCCCGCGGGGTCACCGTCTCCATCGTCCGCAAAAACGCCCCCATGGACCGCGACTGCCGGATCTACGCCCCGCGCTTCCCCAAGCCCCAAACCGAGGGGTACTTCCTGCTCATCTACAGCGCGAAGCCCGATGGCCAGGATGGGGAGCTGCTCGCCCTGAAACGCGTTTCATGGCAAACCGGTCCGCGCGGAAAGAGGAATGGTCAGAACAACAACAGTGGCCGTGGCGCTGCTGGCACCTCTTCTAACAGTAGCAGCGGCAGCGGCAGCATCGCCAAGAAACCCAATGAGCGGCAGCAGCAGCAGCAGCAGCAGCAGCAACTTACAGTCCGATCCTCGGTCAAATTCCCCGAAAACCCCGCGGCGCCTAGCACCAAGCATGTCAACGTGCGCGTGATCAGTGATTCGTACCCGGGCATGGAGTGGACAGTGACCCGGGTGGAGGTTCCGACCGGTGCCGCCACGGGAGCTGAAACGCAGAGTGTGCCGGAATCCACTATCCCTGAGAAGGGCCATGAGATAATCCCTTAGTTTTTCGTTTTCTGTACATACTCTTAGATCTACAGGAGGATTTACTCTGTATCTCAATTTTGGGAAAGTTGGTTGGTGATACAGTAGATGCCTTGGAAGAGAATAAGGGATATGACTAGAGTTTCAGGTGTTGTTCTGCTGGAATTTGGAGGTGGTTCTTGGCTTTGTGTTCGTGAAACACGAGAGCAATAGATTTCGGAATTGCAAATCAAATCTAATTTGAGAAGGCTAGGGTCTCGGACCGTGCCTTGGACTGGATACCGAGCGGGGTATTTGGGCAACAAACATAAAAATGGGGGGATAAAAATAGATACATGAAGACGGGGACTGTCGAACCCAGCATGACTGAAAAGGGCAGATATCGATCTGACACAGTAAGAAATGAGTTATGTCACGTGGAATGGATGGAAGTAAGCTATCAAAGCATAGAAGTGTATGCTACCTGCGCTTGCAATAAAGGAAGGCCGGCTGAGAAAGAAAAAAGAGATGAAAAAAAAAGTCATCGAGCCAAATGAAAGATGAACCAAAAGTGTGACATAGGATCGTGAGAATGGACTACTAAAGTAAAAGCTCGAATGGGAAGGACAATGTCAGATGAAGTTGCCGACACGGACGGTCCGCGTACTTCCAGGCCTAGGGCTCAGGTCCCCGCCATCTCGAAGGCGAGGCGGCGGACGAGCGATCCTGGTTTCCACGACCCGATCAGCGGCGGTGGTGTTGGCGCGGTCTAGCCGGGGCCGGATGGGGACGATCACTTGCTTCTTGCCCCTGGAGACAGAGACGGACCGAGCGATGGAGATCTCCTTGCCCCTGGAGACGGAGACGGATCGAGCAATGGAGATCTCCACGGTGGGGAGAGGCTTGTTCAGGTCTGATGTGCTGGCGTTCTTCCTCTCGTCGCCGAGTGGGAATCGGCGGGCGGCGATTGGGGTAGTGGTGGCGCTGCTGGTGGTGATGCTGGCCTGGCTGACTGTGGGAGACCGCGCTGGAAGGTTGGTTCTGCTGCGCGGCGTGTTGGGCGACTTGGCTGATGAGACGAAAGAAAAGGGTGATGAGGCGTCGCTTCGGGAATCACCAGAAGTCCTGATGGGTGGCACTTGCGTGTTGATTGTCAGGGTGGCAGGAGCCTTCGGCCGCGGGATGGCAGGAGGAATAGGAAGCATAGGCTCGTTGGTGGTTGGGGACTTCTTGTTGATGATCTCCCACTCGGGCTCTCGCTCATCGACGTAGCTGCGCACCGGCTTAAGTTTCTGCAGGAGGAGTCTTTCGTCCTCGGAGCTGATAGATGTTGCTGATAGGTACGATGACACGGAGCTCTGTTGCTTGTGCGAGGACGGGGAACTGTGCACCATGAGAACGAGATGGTTCTTATCTTTCGACACATCCTCTTGGTGAGACTCGGCTAATGATGTCTGAGTCTTGTGTAATGGGCTAGGGCCACGCGGTATGTTCTGCGATCCGAGAACCTTCGAAGCCTTGCTGACTTGGGTGGCGGGAAACAATGTGAAATTCGGAGAATTAGACCGTGAGCGCGTGGGTGAGGTCGCCCTTCGACGAGGAGGAACCATTTCCGGTGACGGAGGCGACGGTTGCTGAAACAGGTTGTTAGAATAATCACGGTTGGCAGGCATGGACAACTTACCTTCGCCTCTTCTGTGTCCGCATCATTCAACGTCTTGCTCCGTCGGTTCAAGGACGGGGGTCTGTTCTTCTGCAGAACCCCCCCAAACATCACACTGTACCGTTCCAGTTGGATATCAGGAATATCAATCTGAAGCAGGGGCATGAAGTTCGAGGATGCATTAACGGTTTGAGAAGATTCATGGATGGCAGTTGTCTCTGGCTGTTCATGCTTCAGGGCCGTAAGTTCCGGCGTTGGTTCCAGTTCCAGGGATGGCCAGGCTTCGATGGGGCTGGGCTGATCATCGAGCCTGGGGTCGGCCTTATTCCTATGGTTATACTCAGGCTTGGGCTTGGGCTCCTCCTCGGTTTTTGGCTTCTCGTCAAGTTTGGGACTCTCCTCGAGCATCGGTTGGCGTCTGTTGATGGAGACTGCAGAAGCCGGCATTGGCCACTCAGTAGTCGGCTGGACATGATACAAGGCTTGGGTAGGAACAGGTGCACTCAATGCACTCTTTGCTTTGAAAAGTCCCCCAATTTTCTTCCATTTGCTTGGTTTGCGCTGTAGCGATGGTCGCACGGGGACCTCCGGAGGCCTCTCGAAGTGTTGCTCTTGCGACATTGCAATTGGCATCTCGATCATGCGGGGGCTTCCTAATGCGACACCAATCAAGCCGTCTGTCGGTGAGATGATCGGGCTCGTTGGCGAAGTCATGGCATTCGATGGGGTTGTTGGGATCTGGAAATCAAACCCAGGATTGGCATCCTGCACATGCCTTTGCTGCTGCTCTGCCGTCTTTGGGCGCGCAGAGTCCTGCGACAAGTTTGCGCTTTGTTCGTGACGTCCGGAGTTCTTGCGCGGCCGCACGTCTGTGTGCTTTTGAGTGGGCGATGAGCTAGCCTCTGGCTGGCGCAATGTACGCGACCTTCCACGAAAGGTACCTAGAGCCATGATGAATGTTCCGGTTGTGATATCTTCCCCAGAAATTAAGGATATGCTGCTTAGCGATGAGAAAGGAAGGGTCCGTGAGTGCCCGTGAGGTTAATTCAAGCAGATTTGAAAGAGTGGAGGTGGTAATATAAATCGGCAAAAGAGTGACAGGTTAAAGAATGACGGAGAAGAAAACTTCAAGAACCAGTCATGAAGGCTTGCAAGTAAAAAGGAATGGACGGCCTTCCAGAAGGCCCGAAACAGTACCACGAAACCGTCACGAAGCTGAAGATTCAGTCATGGTCGGGAGAAAAGGAGGGATGGAGGAGAAGCAGTAAATTGAGGGAAAGAAAGAAGCGCCAGACAAAGCCGTTGTCGGGGTGGAGCCTGAGGCCGACGGCGCAACACCTAAATGAAACAAGCGGCAGGGGCTGGTTAGTGTCAGACTGTTCTGTTGGATCCATGGTCAGTCTAGATACTGAATGGGATTTGGACTGAGTAAGGTCTGACGAAGCGCCAGAACCCAGGAACCAACGAGAGCGCTGGAAGTAAATTGTCTAGGAGGCGTTATAGGAGCTACGCGGGCGGAAAATGTGTGGCATCTGCGAAGCGCCACGGAAGATGCTTATCGCGGGATCTGATTGATTGAGCGTTTGATTACGGCTTCATCCCATGGGCGAGAGGGATCGAAAGAACACGCTTGGCAGACGCAGGGTTGAGTTCGCAGCTGGACATCGTCCTGACATAATTGAGATCTTGGAGCCAATAACATCGTTCTCATCAAGGAGATCTAAGATGCTGATACATGAGTACTTGCAGCAAAGGGGGGTTTTGTCACAGATTCTCGCGTGGGCGCTACAAGCGAAAGGAGACTGTTTCAGACCCATTCCGTGCTCTCTCGCACGTGCCGTTCGGTCCTGCGCACCGGTGGGTATGACAGGTCATGATTGAGTTGTGTCATGTCCATGGGAAGACTATAAGTACGTACGACATGAATGTCAGATGCAAGTCTGCAGCTGTCAAAGCAACTGACTGACTGACTGACCAACAAATGGTTGTCCCGAGGGCTAATTTCCCTGGTCTCTTGATCTGACGTGGCCCGGTCCCATGACTAAGTCGATCATCTGTGAGGCTCCGTCAACGGGAGCGAATACGGTCGGAGATCGAGAAGAGTAGAGACGCCGGTAGGCTGCAGCGTGCATTGTGAAGAGTGCAGTTGATGTTCAACACACGACCTGGTCTCATGCATTTCGCCACTGCCCATTTGCAATCCTGCGCTAAGGGGAAAAGTCTCAGTTCTTCAACATCTTGAGCAGAAACAGAAGAGGCGGTAAGAGCATCGGTGGGACTGAACAGGGTCTAGCATTCGCAATGGCAGGGAGGCTATTCCGAATTGCCTCAGCTTATGGAGACCTGGTGTTGGCCCCTCCACCGCCCCAAAGCTCTCATCTTTGCTTTGTGCTCTGGTCTGTCGGAATCACGCAAGAAGCCTAAACGGATAGATAGACAGACAGACAGCTCCAAACCACGGATCAGGCGCGGGTGCAAGAGAGGAATGACGTAGAGGGGAGCATAAGGGGACAATCAGGGTTCGCACTATTGAAATGGTGAATAGAGTAGAAAGATTAAGCTGAGCAGTAGGAACTAGTGAGTGGTAGAACAAACCCTATAGAGAACTATAGAGAACCCGAATGATTGAAACAGTCAATCAGTCAATCAGTCTCATTTTAGTCTGATGGAGCTTGGCGGGGCGCATTGAGAGCAAGAGAGCAAGGGAGCAAGAGAAAGTGGAATGGACGAGAGAGAAAGCGTGCGAGCGACCAACAGAAACCCCCACCTCACCTCATCATCTTCTTTCTGACTAAACCCTCCTCCCCCCCTCTTCATCTCCTTTCCCCTCCTTTTCCTCAATCTCTCCTCCTGTCCATCGGACTACATAGTATTCAACTTATCATCTTTCCTGGTCCGACTTTTTTCCTTGGACGACCGCCTTCTACCCCCCTACTCTTTCTGCCTTGTGGAAACTCTCCTCCTTTCTTCCTTTCCGTTCTTCTCCCCGACCATCTCCGTCGTTTGTTTATCCCACCCACCACTTCCATCACCACCGTCACCATGGGTCAGCACTCCGCTATCTGGCAAGGTATGCTCACCCTTACTCCCTCCCATCAGGGGTCTCCATTTTTCCTTGTTGTTTACTATACCGTCTGTATTCGATAACTAATTTACTCTTGTTTTGGTCAGGCTATGTCGATTCCAGGTATATACACCATCCCGCCCCTACCCCGCTTCCAATGCATCTCTATATCGCTCCAGCTCAGCATGTATCCTAACCACCCTCGCCTTCCAGCTTGATGGGATCCGGCCAATTTGACAAGGCTGCCATCCTTGCCTACGACTTCTCTGATGTTGAGGCTTCGTCCCCCGGCTTCACGGTATGATTCCCCCGCCCTCAGGTCGGCGCGCAGTTACCCATGCGGCTATAACCCCTCTCCCCCTTCCTCTTCTCCGTATGGAACGCAGAGTTTTGACCCCGTCGAACAGATCGCTCCTCAGGAGCTGACCGCTGTCGCCGCCATCTTCCAGAACCCCAGCAGCGCCTTTACTACCGGTGTCGTCGTCGGAGGAGAGAAGTTCGTTACCATCAAGTCCGACGAGCGCAGCGTGTACGGCAAGAAGGTACGGTTTCCTCTTCCCGTGACCATTTCCAATACTCCTAGTCCTTTCGCGTGGGATCGTCTTATCCTGACAAGCTGAACTAATCACAATCAAACCCACTCGTTACAGGGCAAGGAGGGTATCGTCATCGTCAAGGCCAACTCCTGCGTCTTCGTCGCCCACCATGGCGAGGCCGTCCAGACCACCAACGCCGCCACCGTCGTCGAGAACCTCGCTGACTATATCAACAACCCCCGGTAGATGGGCCGGTGTATACACCTAATCGAAAAGTCTGTCGTTGGGGGGGGGGGGGGGTGACGAGTCCAGGGGGAGCAGTGGTAATACTCTGAATGTAGAACACGGTGGTCTCCTTCTCGATTTGTCTGTTCTTAATTTTTCTCCTTTTTTTTTTTCCTTTTCTCCTGTTGTTATATGATATCAGCCACAACGCGTAGATATGTGCAATATGTGCCAACTTTTTCTTCTCCTGAGATGATCTCGGCTGTTGTCTATACAGATGGATGATGCGACCTGTCAGAGCTCTTGGGACATCATTAGTCCATTGTGACCCTGTATATGTCATCACTACTTGATATGAAAACGAATGTCTATGTATCCAACAACCGGTCTGCAACGGATGAAAAAGAAACAGCCCAAAGAGAGAATATTAACAATTACAACATCTAATCCACTCCAGCCAGAGTCAACATATGCATCCCACGGAAGAATGACTTTCCTTCCTCTTCCGCAAGCAAAGTACAAATACCTTATCTTTCTCCACACCGCAAGAAAAAGTACATGAACCCAGTACATTCCACATCTCATATTCCATGCGCATCATATAGATAAAAGTCGTAAGAACGGTAAGAAGGTAAGTCTCGTGTTGTCAGTTCGTTTTACACGTTAACATTATATCACGCCTCTTATACTGTAGTAGAGGAGGATTTTTTTTTCCGCATCAGTGCATGCATAAACAGGGTTGACGCAGAAACACATCCGCACAAAAGTCGCTTAAGACCTATTGATTAGGCTTTGGTGACGACGGTAGAATTCTCGCTTCAAGGGCCTAGCACGAAAAGGCCAAGAGAGCGAGAAGCGGAGTATGATTTATACCGGCAACTCGGCATTCCGCCGGCCGCCAGCCAGCGCCTCCAACGCCGTCTTGATGTACGGCCCCACGACGGGGATGTTCCCCGCGAACTGGCCGATGGTCACCAGGAAGTCGCCGAAGAGGATGAAAAGCCCGTACAGCTCGATGATGAAGCCCGTGAGCGGCCAGCGGAGGAGGATGAGCAGGATGCCGGCGACGAAGGCGGCGGTGCCCTTCAGTTTCTGGCGGCGCGAGAAGAAGGCGAAGGTCTTTTCGACGCCGATGATTAGGGTGAGGCCGATGAGGAAGAGGATCTATTTTGGTCGGAGTGATTAGTTCGGAGTTTTTGTGGGATGGTTTCCGTAGGAGGAGAGGGTTTGCGGGGGCGAAAGGGGGATGGGGGAGCGAAAGGATGAGTGGAACGTACGTTGCCCATGGCGAGTCTGTGAGGTTTGGAGGTTAGCTTTTGTGGTGATACGTTGTGATTTGGGAGGGTAGGGTCGGTGTTGGGACGTACAGTGAGCGATCGAAGAACATTAGGACTCCGCCGAAGAGGAATAGTGCTCCTGTTGAATTGGGTCAATCGGTCTGGTCTTGGTCGGGTGAGACTGGTCTTGTATGTGAGTTCGTGGACGTACCGGCGGAGCAGAAGATAACTCCTATCTCTGTTGGTTGGAAGACGCTGTGTTAGCCATAATTTCTGCCTCATGGAGCTTGGTTCTGGGAGGGTTGTAGATCGGAGTTGCCGGTTGCGCTTACTCTGATTGTCGGACAGCCACATGGTTGGCATTTTGTTCTCACTGATGTGGGGATTGTAGGTGGTTTGATGTGTCTGAGGGGATGGTGGCCTTAGTTCGACGACAAAAGATTCGAATCGGATGCGCGATGCGAAACTCGAGATGCTGAGTAGACCGACAAACAGATGCCTGCGGAGAGGATCGCGATGAGCGGCGGAGATGTCGCGTGCGCGCGGAGACGTTGATCAGGGAGGCAGCGAAAGCTGGGCGCACGTAGAGGTGAGTGAGACGAATCCGAAGGGTAGAGTAGAAGATCGATGCTGTTTCGTCTCGATCGCTAGAACACAATCAACCGATTTTCCCCAACGAGTTGAATAAACATTGATGATAGGCGCCCAAAATTCCCCAATTCTGCCACGTTCCTTTCTTGGCGAGATGAGAACTAGTCCGTCTTGGGATGGCGGTCGACTGGCTTCCGCACTTCCACAAAACTCGCGATTTTGCTCCCTTATTTCTTTTCTCTCATTGACAGTACCGACTCTCCTTTCGAGATTTGTTATGGTGTTATGGGCAACACCCAACACTACCTATCGGGTGGCTACGTCAGCAATGCGGTTCAATGCCTCTTATGCTGAGGTGAACAACTGGATGAATACATCAGAACAACACTTCAATGGTGGATTCCTAGTGCTACTGTTGAACGACTCGACATGACATGGAGTGACACTGCAAGCACGACGCGTGCTTGCAACTACTAGGTCCTCTCCTGACTTTCTCCTCACGTATGCTATCTTTGTGCCAGCCTATGGCTGAGCGCAACTATACGCCGCGGCGACAGTATCCCCAGTGATGCTGTAACTGACGTTCCCTCCGGTGGATCGTCGGTACTAGTCGAGTGCTGGTTCTTCCAGCACAGAGGCGAAGATCAAAATCGTATTTCTCATAATACAAGATCACGAATAAGCCGGAGCAGTTCCTTGAACCTGTCTCGAGAGGGGCAGGGGGGTGGAATCGCTTGACTGTGTTGGTCGTACATTATTATATCTCAAAATCAGAAAAGAGTCATAGCGCCTAGCTAGAAAAAGAACATTAGATCCTACTCTTCATTTGTTCTTCAGTCTGCGTAGACCATGCGGAACTTACCCTATATAATCCCATGGTAAAAAGTAACTCCCAGATATCGTAAGCTCATTTCAGCACAACGTGTGCAGCCCTCAATTCCAGATAACTCTCCGGAACACCCTGTCCCAACGTCCGTACCACGCCGAAAACCTCCTTGTCGTGATATCTCAGTCTCGTCTTGGGGTCCGTGTACGGGGCCGGCAGGCCGGTGATGTCGCAGTATCGGGTCTGCTGGGAAGGATTGAAGGAAGGAGCGGACTCGATATTGGTGTAGGTCACAGTAGGGCCGGAGAAGGCCGCGCGAGCGTTCTTTTCCAGGACCAGCGTGGAGAGGTTCTGCGCGGCTTGCGCGATGTCGGTTCGTGAGCCACCCTCCGCAGGGGTCTGGCTTCCTTCGGTGCTGGCGGAGGTGGTGGCGGGGAGCGGCGTCGATGCCCCAGAGTTGGTCTGTGTGGCCATCACCGAGGCCTCTTTTCTCGAGCTCTCGGATATAAGCTGTTTGACGTTCTTGTTGCGCCGTTGGGAGGGCTTCCAGTGCGGGTTGCGGAATGGGCGATGGACGTGCGCGATGTCGAGACGGTCCAGGAGTTGCTGATGTTTCTCGCTGTCTGCTGGTGTCAGAGGAGCCATGATGAGGAATGTGTCTCAATGCGCTCCGAGTTGTTGATGGTGCAAAGCTGGCGTCGTGGTTTGAGAAGCTGGTTGCTTGGTTGTGAATGTCGGAGTTGATTCTGAGGGAGGAGAGTCTAGAAGTGCGGTCCGGAAGCATGTGCGGATTGACCCAGGCCGCCGTTGTATGAAGGCGCTGGCATCACCACCCCAACCCAGCAATAACAATTCAGGAGACTCTTTCCGTGTAGTCTTCTATATTGAGGCATTTCAATTCTAGAACAATTCTTTGCATCATATCTACTGTCCCTTTTTGAGATACGCAACGACCGGTTTCAGTCACGTGACACACTGGTTGGTTTCTTTGGCAAACGGGCAGCAACAGACAAACATCACTATCAAACGATCTCAGAGCGTCTACCTTGCAGTGTGCCACTATGGTAAGCACCCTCAGAATCAAAGTACAAGTGGACTACTAGAAGAGAAGAACTAAAAGTCATGCAGGAAAGTCCTCACGAGCATCAGCAAGCCTTGCTACTATCTCGCATCATCGGCAACATTGTGTGTTATTCCCGACAATCAGTCAGATGTCACGACTGACTAGGCCCAGGAAAAACTTAATGAATCAATAATGGTCATGAATCGCAGTCTCCAGGTATTTTTCACATCCTTTTACATTTGTCGTCGATGATGTTGACTGTTGTATCACAGGAAATCAACATCCAGAACATGAACGTCGAGCTCGTAGCGCAGATGTTCAAGAACTACCAGTCCAATGTGCTCTTCCACCTGGAAGGTATTGTAGATTCCGAGTCGGCAACAGCGCCTGCCTGGTTCAACGTTGCTAACTTCTCCCAGCGACGGACAACCTGAAGGAGCCATCCTGAGCTTCTGCCAGCGTACACCATTGTACTTACGACGATATGATATTCTGTTTCGATTGTTTCAATGAAATATTTCTTCTTTATTGGTGAATGAGACTTGTGCTGTTGAGTAAACCGTGTAAAACCCCGGATAATTTTCCTTGCTTGTTCTGTATAAAAGGTGTTTCCCCATGATCTTGGCATCATGCGGCGCCGGCGGCCGGAAGGTGCAGCGAACTGGCTCTTGACTATCCCGTTCATCACCACTCCCGCCGCCGCCTCCAGACTTCTTCCAGTTCTCCCTTCCAAGAACCATTTTGAGGGAGGGCACTCGACATCTCTCATCCTAACCTACCAACGCTTTACCCATACAAATTGCAACTCGCGACCAGGTGCAATGCAATGAATTAGTGTTGGCTAGAAGCTCTTGGAACTGCTAGTCCTGTTGAACCGGGCCCGGTTGGCCCCAGAAGACCACCATGGCCATCACTTCAATTTCAACCGTCCTTCCCACTCGATTTTCGGTCAATTCCTCTGAAAAGACGGCCGCAAAACCGCCAATTCCCACGGCCTACAATGTCCAAGATCACCCGTTCAAAGGGTACCACGCACCTCAACCTGAGGGCTATGCGAAGAGTACCGGGACCAGCGCCATCGTCATTGATAATGGTGAGTGAAGGTCACCCTTTTCTTCGGTCATGAATCTCGGTCGCTAACCCTATCTCATCTACTGTCTAGGCTCCAACCTGGTCAAAGCGGGCTGGTCCTTCGACAAGAAGCCCCGCTTCATCATTCCCCCCGTGATGAGTCGGTATCGCGATCGGAAACTGAACAAAGCCTGTCAATTCATCGGAAACGACGCCTACGTCGACGCCACGACGCGTGGACAGCTACGGTATGCGTTCGATCCCGGCTCAAGTGTGGTGGGCAACTGGGACGTGATGGAGGGAGTGCTGGACTACTTGTTTATCAAGCTGGGGGTGGACGGAGGCGCCGACGGAGGCGTCGATCGACCCATCGTTATGACTGAGCCGATCGCGAACCTGACCTATCCGCGACGCAGTAAGTTTAAAGGCCGCCTTGTCGTTCTTGGGCAGATGTGGTCAAACGGAAAGGTAAACTTGTGTTTGCTAATGTGGTTGCAGTGATGAACGAAATCCTTTTTGAATGCTATTCGGCGCCGTCAGTAGCCTATGGCATCGACTCCCTGTTCTCCTACCGGTATAATCGTGGCACGGACGGCCTCATCGTCTCCTCATCGCATACGTCCACGCATGTCATTCCCGTGCTGAACAACAAGGCCCTGCTGTCGAACTGCTCGCGCTTGAACTGGGGCGGTCTGCACGCGTCCGAATACCTCTTAAAGCTGATGCGGCTGAAATACCCGACTTTTCCGGCCCGCATGACCGACAACCAGATGCAAGATCTGGTGCACAAGCACTGCTATGTCTCGAAGGACTACGATCAAGAACTAAGCCGGTACCTGGACTGGACGGGGCTGGAGGATCGGGACCACATCATCCAATATCCGTACACGGAGCATGTTATTCCGGAAAAGACGGAAGAGGAGCTGGCGCGCATTGCGGAGCGGAAGAAGGAGAGCGGGCGGAGGTTGCAGGAGCAGGCTGCGAAGATGCGCCTGGAAAAGTTGATGAAGAAGGAACAGGAACTGGAATATTACAAGGATCTACAGCGGGGGCTTGCGTCCGAGTCGAAGAAGGAGGCCCGACGCATCCTGGAAGCTGAGGATCTGAAAGACGATGCACACCTCGACCGCTTGATCCGCGATCTTGAGCGGTCGATCAAGCGCTCGCGGAATCGTGACCTGGGCATCGAGGAGACGGAGGAACCTCAGGAGGAGATGTCATTCCCGCTGCTGGATGTTCCTGACGAGGAGCTCGATGAGGCCGGGCTCAAGGAGAAGCGCCACCAGCGACTGATGAAGTCTAACGTAGAGGCTCGCCAACGCGCCAAGGCCGAGAAGGAACAAGAGAAGGCTCGTCAGGAGGAGGAAGAGAGGCTTGACCGCGAAAAGCGAGAGAACGACTTCGATAATTGGTTGGCTGAACGAAGGGCCAACCGTCAGGTAATTCATCTACCTACATACATTTCCACTTTGGCACTGACATAGTCCTATAGAGCCTCCTGCAACGAATCAAAGAACGCGACAGGATGAAGGCTGACCTGGGCAATCGCAAGTCGCTCGCCAGCCAAATGCGCATGAAGACCCTAGCCAACCTCGCCGCGGACGGCCCCAAGAAGAGACGGAGAGGCGGCGATGACGACACTTTCGGCGCCAACGACGAAGACTGGGGTGTCTACCGTACTGTGGCCACAGGCGACCAAAGTGACGAGGAAGAGGAAGAGGATCTCGGCGGCTTGTTGGACGCGGCCGAGAAGGAGCTTCTGGAATACGATCCGGAATTCACGGAGAACCACACGCTGGCGGCGCAATCCGACTGGACCAAGAGCCTGGTGCACGTGTTCCTGCGGGGTCCCTGGCCGTTCGATCCAGAGAGTCAGCGCGAGGCCCATCAGATCCATCTGAACGTGGAACGGATCCGGGTCCCCGAGGTTGTCTTCAAGCCATCCATCGCCGGCATCGACCAGGCGGGACTGGTCGAGATCGCCGCCGATATTGTCAACCAGCGCTTCTCGAACCCCGAGGAACAGGCCCGGCTGCTGCGTGATGTTTTCTTCACCGGTGGCAATACGCTCTTCCAGAACTTCGACGAGCGGTTCCGTCACGATTTCCAGGCGCGTCTACCGGCTGGTAGCGTGTTGAACGTCCGCCGCGCGGCGGACCCCATCCTAGATGCCTGGAAGGGCGCCGCTCAGTGGGCGTCAGGGTCGGAACTCCGCAAGTCGTCCATTACACGGCAGGAGTACCTCGAGAAGGGCAGCGAATACCTCAAGGTAAGTTTGTGGAGCCTCCCGACGGGAGTAATACCACGGATGATGTGATGTGCATGTATCGGGGCTGACCACGGTCTACAATAGGAACATGATCTGGGTAATGTCACCACATGGTAGGATATCCGGACACTTGGTGGGTGGGTGCGTGTGTGTGCTTTTTGACCTTATCGACCCTGTCGATCTAGGACATGCGCTTTGATCCGCTGATTGTCTTCCCGACATGAGGTCACTGAGCCTCGCTCCGGGGCTTACGGATAAGACAGAAATCCATAACATCTCACAGAATCCGAGTTTGCTGTCCCGCTCGTCCCGTTCCTGCACCACTCGCCAGCTTTATGTTCCAGTGCTACTTGGAATATGATTTTTGTTTTGCGGACGATGGACCCCTCAGGCACGTGGTGGAGTTGAGGATTTCCAGCTAGCTAGGATACAACACGGCGTCCGGCGTCCAAGCGAGTTCAAATTGGGTGGGAGGGGACAAAATTCAATACCTAACTTGATTCAACAGGAAAGAACCTATTTTTGAATTTTTGCTGCGTGAATGTGCTTGTGCTGGAAGAAGAGGGCTCTTGTTGTCTAATTCAATGAAACTAGCTTTTCAACCTTTAGAATACTGAAGTCTGTTCATTTTTTCCCCGGCGGACTTGTCCATAGGTGTATGCACGGGTCGATTAGCCTCCCGCCAAGAGATGATCTCCCTCCTCTATGCTATGTAGTACCCAAATGCTTCTGCTAGAGATGATCAAAAATCTTGTCTATCCATCTACCCGATGGAAACATCCATTTCTCTAATCTGGGAGGAAGCTGAGATCCCAGGAAATTGAGAATCTGCAAGACCGACGTTCGGGCGCGAGAGTTCAATAGCTCTTCCCTTGTGGAGTATGGCATCGTTAGACTTTCATTCCCCATTGTCCCAATTGTCCAAGGACAATCAAGTCTGTATTGTATCGTAACACAAACCCCACCACCACACCTACCAGCACCAGCCCCAGCAGATCCTCCCCAGATCTCCGAAAATGTAAGGGGGGGGGGGGGGGGGGAAATCAAAGACAGACAAAGTGTGGACCATTCGATCCTCGGAACAAAAACCGACGTGGTTCTTTTGGTTTGCGGGCTACAATTGGTTTTGCTTGATGCTTTTCTATCCGAGCACAGGATAGGATAGGACAGGATAGGACATGAGAAAGAGGGGGGGGTGGTTGTTCGTTGACTGGTGTGAATCGAATCGAGGCAGCCCAGCAGCGAGAGTTAATTGACTATTGGGGGTAGTCACGAGGTCCATGAGGTAGGTTTTTGGGGTTTGGTGTAGGTAGGTAGGTAATGATGATGGGTTTGTACTACAGTGTACTGTCTTCGGTATTGTTATGTTACTGTATGCCTTTGTGTGGATGTGAATGTCGAGTTGGTGCACGTTGTGTGGGGATGGAGAGGGTAGAGATGATGTGATACGGTCATGGGATGGGTATGTGATTCTACAGAACAGTATGGATGGAGGGCTGGTCGGCTGGTCGGTGTAGATTCCAGAGCCTACTAGTACATACAGTACGTACTGTACACAGTATCTCTGCGGTGTATTATTGATCTTACTTTGTATAAGGTGAGGAAGTGGGTTCATGTTCAGGTCCGACAAATGAGTATGAGCGTGAAAAGTGAAAGGAAGAAGGTCCTTATCAGCCTTGTGGGTCTTGAGTATCTTTCATCAGTCAGTTGATCAGTATTCTACTCCGTAGTAAGTAAAGAATGATTAATCAAACTGGTTGCTGCCGCAGGCATCCGGCAGGATCTGCAGCGCCGTTCGGCTAAGCTCGAAGCTTCGATAGGCAGAGGCAAGAGGGGAGGGTAAGGAAAACAACTGGAAACCTTCGAAGGTTACCTTCCTGGTCATCCGCGGGTTGCACGATGGACGTGGCGTGGTTCGGCCACTGGTTCCTGGTTTTTGATGGTGGTGGTGGTGGTGGTTGCTGTTCTGTCGGTTGGTGCTCTTGCTGCTGCTGTTGTTGTTGTTCTTGCTGCTACACATCTCTGCAGTTGTTTTCCAACAATATTAATTCTACTGCATTCTCTTGGAGTATCAGCGAAGGAGAAATCCATGTACAGTCGACCCGTACAGTACAACAAGTCTGGGCAGGGCGGAAAGAGCGGCCAGACCATGACGGTGACCATGACGGTAAGATTACCATCGGTACCGGATGCCGGGGCGCCAAGCCCTGATGACAGGCCATTTGGTAACCGATATTGAAGCAACTTATACCTAGAGTATACTCGACACTTCTTCATCATTCAGTCATCACGCAACCTCCCTTGCACCACACCCCCCCCCCCCCTCCCATCAGTCCATGTCTCTTGTCGATCAGTGATGTGATCCCAATCGCCCACTGCCAAGCGTTCCCGCTTCGGGCCCCTGTGAAGCTGAGCTGTGATGGTCTTCCCCCCCCTCCCTGTCCATCAATGCTTGTCGTTGGGCAGAAGACGAACAAGGGTACTGGACAAGAATTGAGTTAATCAACCAGTGAACCAACTGACTAGCTAGCTATAGCTGCAACTAGCGCCAACTGCAAAAACCTTTTCCTCATTAAAGGCAAAACATCACCCAATCCACCAAGCCTGGACCAAGTTCGGAATTGACTTACTTCATGCAGAGGAAACTATGACGCATCTGGGGGAGCCAGCACTTTGTCTGTCTATCTCCCTCCCACCATCGAACCTTCACACACGGTTCTCTCGGCACTGCATCTGGTCATTGGGGCCAGAACCAGAAGAAAATGGAAACTGTGCCAAACCCCGAATGAAGAGGGCAGAAAAAAGCAATCAACCATTTCACACCGTAGATGGACCTCTGACGTAAATGCTACGCTTGGATGTTGACTTGGGTTCGAAGAGGGATAGACCATGCGCATTTCCCCCCTCCTCTTCTTGGATATAAAACACCCTGTCCTGGTCGCACATCGGATGCCATTCAGGACCAGTTTGTAACCAGTTCAAATCAGAAAGAATCAAACGCCACCACTCAAGGCCTTGCCCTATCGCACGCCCTTTCTTCCCCAGCTCCCTTCATTTTCAGCGAATTTATAGCAACCCCTGCCCGTCCTCGATCTCCCCAGGATCATCTCTTTCTCAGTTGCAGTCAGATAATACAAAATACCGAAGATGTTGCTCTCCACCACCGTGGCGCGTCCCCTGCAGCTGCTCACCCGGTTCATGCAATGGGCCAGCGCAGTCATCGTGATGGGCATCACCTCCTACTTCATCCACCGGGGTCCGCGCGGGCAGCACATCATCTACGATGAAGTTATTGTACGTTCATCTTCCTCGGGTCTATACATCCAACAATGAATCCACCTAACCACAGCCTCCGGTCTAGTCCACCATCTCAGTCGTCTTCTTCCTCCCGGCCTTCGTCTCGCCGTTCATGCCCCACGCCCTGAGCAAGTTCGTCCTCGCAATCGACGTGATCTTCTCCTACCTGTACGGTTCCCCTGCCCCTGCCCCTTCCCCCAAACCCTTACCACCGCAGCAGCAAACCCACCAAACCACCCACTAACCTGAATGACAACAGATGGCTCACCTCCTTCATCTTCGCCGCCCAAGACTACAACTGGCACAACTGCGGCGCCAACGCGCCCCCGGGCGCCTCCTGCGCCCTAAAGAAAGCCAACGAGGCCTTCATCTTCCTCACCTTGTACGTTGGCCCTTTCCTTCCCCCCCGTTCACAGCCCTTCACGCATCTATCCCCTGCCCAAAAAAAAGAAAAACCCCCCCTGGAGTAAAACACACCATAAGCTAACCCTCACAAAAAGTATCTTCACCTTCTTCGCCATCTTCCTCGAAGTCGGCGCCCTCTGGGCCTACCGCCGCGAGAACGCCGCCCCCGTCCGCGAGAAGAACACGGGCGGCGCCCACGGCGGGCCGGCCGATGCGCCGCTGGCGGCGTCGGCCTAGGGCCTTCCTCCCTTCCCACTTTACTGGGGTTGAATGTTGAATGAATGGACTTGGACAGCGCCGGATTTGACACGAATTGAATTGAACTAAACTTGGACAGGACAGGACAGGACAGGAATGTGCTTGCTGGTCTTGAATGCTCTCATCAACCGGGTTAGTCGGGTCCCTGGTGTATGCTGCGGACCGAACTGTGCGGATGATGATGTGTTGCGAGATTGGCTGGCTTGATCTTTTCTCGAATCTTTATGATGATACCATGCTCTACCGGCGGGAACCACCCGCTATGACTTGCTACTTGATATTGTTGTGGTCGGGGGAAGAGGTTGCATGATGATTTGATTTTGATGGTTGGTGGGTGGGTGGTAATGCGGTAATGGATCTAATGATGATGCTGACGATGTTGATGAGGGGGTTGTGGTCGTGGTTGGTTGTTGTGTTTACCTTTCTTGTTACCCCGTTTATAGTCATAGTAATTAACTTAATCTTCCTTTTCCCCCGAGTCCCTAATCCTTATTTTGATCCTCCGTATCGTATTTGTTCTGGAATCAGGAAAGCATTGTGATAAGACTAAATCTTTGCGGGACTATGCCTCGGCATGCTTCGCATAAATGGGGTCGAGTTGCTCGTATATCGAACTCTATCGAACTTCTAACAATTCTAACAATCAGCCGCGTCTATAAGCTAGATCTATAAAACATCATGCAGCTTGTATTGCACGCACATTCCGAGACCTGGCATAATGAAATGAGAAAGACAGAGATCCCTATCCGATACCTCTATACTTCCTCCCCCGCCGCAGAACCGCATACCGATCCTCGTCGTCATCCTCCCCAGCCTTCAGCAGCACCACCTTCCCCGCCTCGCCCTCGCCCTCCTGTCCCTCTAATGCGTCTGGCTTCTCTTCTCGAACAATGAACCTCGTCTCCTTTGGCTCCTCCTTCGCCACGCCCGCATCACCAGCAGAAGCCGAGGCACAAGGAGTAGGGGCCCTCCCCGACCCACCCGCAACAGCCATCATCCCATCGACATTCAACCAGAACCCCTCCCGCAATCCTCGCGACCACACCACCACCCACAGGTCCACCACATGCACCCCCACCGCCACCGCCAGCACGATGGCGATAGTCCATTCCCACGGCAACCGCGGCCCAGACCCATACAACTGCCACCGCACGGGTCCTTGCAGGGTCGTCTGCACCGTACTATTGCTGCCACTGACCCCCTCGGAACTGGCCCCCTGCAGCACAGCGGAATACGTCCAGTCGAACGAGGTGATCATGTCCGTGAAAACCGTGCCCACGACAGCTGCGACCCCGTCCAGGCGCGTATATCCCCGATTCAGGCTGACGAGGTCATCGGCCAGCGTGAGCGCTAGCGAGGTGAGGTTGAGGAGGGCAGGGTCAGACGTGAAGGATTGGAGGTTGGGAAGGATGGCCGTGAACCAGCTAGTGGTTTCGGCGGCGATGGAGGCGTCGGCCTGGGACGTGCTGTTCTTGGGAAGGAGGGTGAGGGCGGGGTTGGGGTTGTTGTCGCCGTAGTCGATGGCGTAGGCATAGTTGCTGGTGCCGGAATACAGCCATTGACCTAGCGGAATTTGGGCTTGTTGGACCTGGATCTGGCAGGTGGCACCAGGAAAGAAAGCGTCGGTGCTGTTATCGCTGGTGTTGTTGGTGACGGGGCCGATGACGAGGTTGATGGTTGCGTTGATGGAGGTGGCTTCCCAGGCCCCTGCGCTGCTGCTGCTGCTGCTGGAATTCGAGTGGTCGGTACAGGAGGTGGTAAGGAGGACACCGGGAATGAGGAGAAGCGCATTCCATCCGGTGGAGTACCGTGCCCAGCTGTGCTTGCTGTGTGCTTTCTGCGCCTCGTACATCTGGATGGCGAGGTCGCCATGCACGGCCATCGATTGGATAACCGCGGAGGACTCAGGGATCCGGACTGCGCTAAAGGCAGGTACGTCGTTATCCCCGAGGGACCGCCAACCGGGCGCGTTGTTGAAAGTGTCGTAAAGAAGACCCAGGGCTTGGAGGGAGTGGTATGCTGCTAGAGAGTGTGCCTGGAGGAGACGGACCTGTAAGCATCATTCTGACAGGTGAAATGCAACAAATACTCGAATCGTACCATCTCCCAAGAAACAGGCCCTCCGATGCGCACCATATCCCAGGCTTTGCCCCACAGCGACATTCGACTGACACTAGCTATCTGAGACGTCTGGTTTGTGAAATAGAATCGATCATCCGGAGGATCCGGCACCACGTAACGCGTGTCTGGCCACCAACGGGATTTGGGAATGGCAATAGTGTTCATAGCTGCCCCGAGCAAAAAGAGACAGATCCCTACTGCCAGTGCCCCGCCAAGTCGTAGCCATGCGATATGCTTGCGCACTCCAAGTTCGCATCGCTCTTTGAACGTCGAAATGGCAGTCAAGGGACTCTGGTGTTCTTCGTACAGCTCAAAGTCCAACAGGCTGGCTCCCTTCTGCCCCTTGTCAGTCATCCATCGGGTGATCAATGTAGTGACGCTGTGCTGGAGAGCCCCTTGTGTGAGAAGCTGCAGGATACTGTTGATCACGCCAATGACGGCAAGCTGGGCATCTTCATCAACAAGGATACCATTTCCGACCGTAAGAGATGCGATATCATAGCTCTTCCCGATGGCGCCGAGAACGATTGCTCTTTTGATCTCAGTTATTAGTGATAGTATGCAGATTAAATGCACAGAGCGTTCGGTAGCTCACGTTATAAGTATGGCAAGGGCCACGAGCCGAAGGAATACGATGCGCGTCAGCGTGGCGCCATCATCGTGGAGTTCATAAGCTTCGTCCGTCCCTGGATTTACAAAAAGATGCCTCCACCGCCAACCCTGACTCTTCTTGAGTAGTGGTGACGAAGCCGGCTCGGTGGTATCTGGTTGGCTGGCCTGAGAAGGTCCACCCCCGCTGCTGGGGTTGCCATCGCGATTATTCGCTGTGTTGGAATGAAGACTCTGATGGGACGAGGGCCTATCTATTGTACTAATGGAGCTGGGTCGAGATGGCGTGACTTCTCCACTGCTGGGAAGAAGGCGCTGATCATCGCTCTGCCCGACTTGTAGACGATGGGAGTCAGAACGAGGGAACTCATCCAGACTAATTTGCGCCTCTGGCAGCGCCATGATCGCGGGACCAGGCCGCAAACATGACAGCGGATGCGGTTCGAGCCGTGTAGGTGGTGGTTCTTATACTTCCCGGGTCAAAACATGCCAAGCTCATTGTACTGGATCCAGGAACGAAGGCTGCATGTCCATTTTACCTCTGAAGTCGATGTGTGGTTGTCATTGGGCGTAGGCGCAAGGCTAGAATTTCGGCGCTGAATCCCTCCCGGAGACTGTTGCCTGTTTCGGTAATTCCCCGAAGAACCGGCCATAAAGGAGACGCCGTGGCCCGTGAGCCGTCACGACGCTTGGATTGATGGCTCCATCGAAAACCTGGAGAAGATCACTCAGGAGTTGTCCGGCTCTTCATTGCATAGGTCGTACAGTTCACAGTAGCACTGCTGGGTATCTGGACAACTGTCAAATCGTGACACTGTTAGCACTCCCTTTCCGGCCAATCCGACAGGGACATAGCACGTACGCAACTGGTGCTTCTAGAAAAACAATATGCCACAGCATTTCAAAGACTGATCCGACCGCAAAGTTGTCCAGCTCCGTAGTAATAGCCCAGTCGCGCATCCGCATGTAATCTTCTTTCGGTCGGCCCCGTATGCGCTCGCGTGTGACCGCAAATTGACCGCAGCAAACGCCTCCGATTTCGGTGGGGATCTGGTCCAAAGGCACTCGGAATAGGTCTACATAGATGCTGGTAAAGTTGCGGTACACAACGTTATGGTCGGAAGCCATGTCAGGGTCAAACGGCCGCACGGCCACCGGACAGCCCGGGCGATGATGGCAGCGCAAATTAGCGTATCCCAGCCGCTCCACCGTGCGAAGATTGAGGCTGCGGAGCAATGATGGCGAATCCAGGTCCCTGACATCATTATGCCACTGGCTATCACCGCCGTGCATGAACACGGTGATATCGGCCAAGTCATCGTAGTTATCGATAATGTGCGTCAAGTAGGCCATACTCTCGCGGCCCTTATTCGCGGGGAGATCGGCGAACCCGGGTTCTTGGTCGGAAGTATAGATGTATGGCCTCCAGCTATTCAAGAGGTTAGTGAGTGGGCCTGCTTTCTGTTCGTACCCATCTATCCATGAACACGGCGTATGCTTACTGGGGCATGACCCGATAAGCCCAAGAGGTATCCTCTCGTCGAGACTTTGCCACAACCAAAGCCAAAGTTTTGTCCGGATTCACTGTCGGGTGCCGGTCTGCTTGCTGTTAGTAGAGACTTCCAGACTGTGAAATCCTAGGGATGGGTCACCAACGCGAGATTGCGAGAGCTTCATCTCCCATCACGACCAGTAAAAGAAGCACCAGGAGAATGCAGCAGATGACCAACAGAGTCCATGTGCGATGGAGCAGGAGTCGTAACGGACCACATGGAGAGGCCGTCATTGTTTCTATTGCAGAATCCAAAGAATGGTCCAGTGGGAGATTTGCCCCAGAGGAACCGGTTCCTCGAAGGGAAACAGGTGGTGGAGATTAGCAAAGGCTTCAAACGTGCATGGTTTTCTTCTGACGGAGGGTCCGGAAACAAGCAATGTTTCAGAACTTCAGAACTGGACTAGAGTAACTGAGGCTCAGGGAAACAAATGCACGCGTAATGAGCAGATGTCCAACTCAGCAGGGTCCTTGAGAAAAGATAAACAATCGGTCGGAGAGAGGGGGAGAAGAGAAACAGATTAATGCAGAGTGGATTGGAGTGCATTAACTAACTAGTCCCGGTGGCAGTGACAAGCTTGGTTGCAATCCGGGTCTAGAACATCGGGTAAGCACTATGGCTTGTGAGTTGTTGGGGGCGGGCGACGCCGCGACACCGCGACACCCACTCCACTCCTGGAGCTCCGGTCTTACCGCAGGCAGAGGGTCTGTCCGTACTCTGTAGATCCCGTCCCGATCCCTTCGTTTCCACAAACACATTTCCTCTTGCCTCACATCTGACACAACAAACACGAACTACAATTTCGGCCGCATGTGTTCCAGAAAGTTCCTACGGATACGTCTGGAGTTGAAATGCCAGAAGTCTCAAAATTCTAGGCTATATATCTTGATTTGCATCTTACAGAT